AACGCGAGGGTAGCAAATCCAGCGTGGAAGCCAGCGTGATCGCTTCCTTTAACACGTTGACGACGAACGCGTTTTTTCTTGCACTTGCACGAGCATGGGGCGAGGCAGGCTCCGAACCTTTTTCACTAATCATATATCATCCTCTCCTTCTTAAAGTTCCATTGTGTTTTAGCAGCTGGAACAAAAATAATCAAAACAATTCCAAGAACAGAGCGAAGAAACGCTACCACTGAAGTTTTGAGTGACATACCCAAAATTTTGTGTTTATTTATTCTGGAAAGGATGAACGGATAAGAGAGTGATTCGACTACATAAGCTTGCTACCACAGTCATGCATTAATGAGCTGAGCATAGCTGATAAACCAGGTGTGCCTAACTGTGCATTAAAAATTATGAATGGCAAACAGTGGGCCAGGGATTGATTCTAAAAGGAGAGACCCAGCGAATGAATTACTTAACAACCATAAAATGTTGTTAACTAACTCAACACATTGTATTGCGTATGAAAACAATAAAAATCGCGAGTTTTGTATGATTTGCTTAAACAACGATAGTGTCGATGACCATTTACCGACATCGTCGCCAACATGTTAAATTTCTCCACACTCCTCAACATGCAGCACGATAGCATTTCATTTTTAGCTAAACTTCACGTTATTTTGTTGCACAGTCCACTAGAACCTTTTCTATACCAATAGTCGATTCCGTGACCGAAACACTCCTTTGAGCGTTTGAAACTGCAGTTCCTGGAAATGTTATTTTCATACCATTTTTGGCATTCGGAAAGCCACTTGGCAGGATTGGACATAGTTCTGAGTTTCGTGCACCATGCCCCTACACCATGCAAAAAATGTTTCTAGAAAACGCTTCATGCCCTGAATGACTTGCCTTCTTAGAAGGAGGAAAGGAGGGAGGGGAAAGCAATTTCCATTCTCTCAGTAGTTTATCCTCTCCTCCTGGGTTCAGTCCGCATAGTGATGCCCCGCCCCCTTAAGTACTGTACACAAGAAAAGTGGGAAAATTAAAAGGCGCAATGTTATTCGGAGGGGTCAGTCACCGCCGCGGCGAGCAGCATGACCCGGCTACTTTAGTGCGAAACGAGGAATCCACAGAGCAGAAGGAGTGTAGCCACTTCAAAGAGGGGAGGAGGAAGAGGTGGGGGTGAGGAGAGTCACTTACCACGCCTGAAAGGCTGAAACTAGTGAGTTCAGTGCTCGAACATGACGCACGCCGCGAGCGACTAACCATCTTCTCACTACATCGCGCTAATAATTCAAGTCTGTGGGGTTGTAGTAGGCGAATAGCGTCCTACCATTCCATAAAGAGCAAACATAAAGGAATGAAGTGGCAATGAAGCCACCGGTGCCTTC